TGTAGGAGTGTGAGATGGATGCCGCCTATGACAGCATGGAAAAGGTGAAAATGGAATCACTGGTGTTTTCCAGAGAAAGACTCAGAACACACTACACAAATGGTAGGTGCAAAACTAGCGAAGTGTGTAGCTGAGTTATTGGATCTCCTTTTCTCAGGAGTCTGTTTTATATAACCTTTCTTGGTTCAAACATAGTTGGACACTTCCAGGAAGAAAAGACCATTGTGGGAAACTAAATACAGCTAGACTTCTTGTGGCTAAGGAAGTCCATGAACAGCAAATTACTGTCAAGAATTTCAGGGAACCACAAATTTTAGATGGGAAACAAAGAAGCAGAATTAATACTTTAATATTTGCTACCAGTTTCTCTTTCTCTTTGTTTTAGAGATTTTTTTTTAAGCAGAAATGGAAGCTGAGGTATTATTTCTCTGTAATGTCTCACTAAGCAGATTGTGAAAAGCATTTGGCACAGAAATAAAGTGATACCTGAGCATATTCTGCACTTCAATAGTGCCTTTCATCCCAGACGCTCAAAGTTACGAAGCAACACACCTGTGAGTTTGTCCCTGTAATTATTTCCCATTTTAAATATGGGAAACAGAAGTATGGAGAGGTTAAACAACCTGCCCAAAGGTGGAAGGTTGCCTGTAACAGATATAAAAAGAAACTGTTTTTCTATCTATCCCATATGCATGTCAAAATTTCACATCTCTCACATATAATTAATTTAATATTGTCTTTTAAAAGAAAATCTTTGTTATCACTTTTTGTACTTCCCAGGTCAGGCCTAAGATCCCAGAGTGGACTGTTGTTTGTCACCAAGTTTTTTGGCACATGATACTGTATTGCTCACCAGAAGATATTTCCTATCTAGGCTATTGCTGTCTTGCTGAACATTTTCAGTAATTCAAATGGAGACTTTAATTCAAATTTTTACTGAAAGGGGAGAAGTGAAATAATTTTAAAGGGTTATATTGAGCTTCACTTCTATGCCAAGACATCCCCAGTAGCAGGGTTCCAGGGAATATGCAGCAAAAATCTTCTAGACAAAGTTTCAATTTCTTTTGCTTTGCAGTTTAACTGGACACAATGCCAGAAAAAAAAGAAGAAAGTGCATGTGCAGGTTGGATCCCTGCTAGCATCAGACGGTGCAAAGGTTGTACCTCATGGTACACAAGGGAACATTCAAAAGGGCCATACTTATTCTCTGATTGCCTTGCCATTGCCTAATAGTAGGTAAACACTATTTCTGCTCCCTCTCTGGGTCAGCAAGAGAGCCTTCTAGGTTAGGATTTTACTCTGAGATACAGACTAAATTAGAGATTTTTCTCTGAGCTGGGATTCATTCCTAGCCAAAGCTGTCCCTCTAATAACAAGCAAGTCTCCTTACTCTCAACAGAACCTGTAAGGCAAGTGCAGAATTCTCATTTCAGTAACCCAGGTTTCTTTCTTAATTGCTTAGAGATAAAAAGCCCTGGGAGGATGCTGCTTGACTGCTTATATTCCAGTGTTCCCCACAAAATGTTTATACAGTTAATGAAGTTCTCAGAAATACATTGAATTTGCTTTTAGTAAGGCAGTAGTAGCTTGTAGCAGGGAGCCAAATTGCTAGTGAGCAAATGCACATTAAAGGAACATTTCGATGTTATTAAAAAGAATGTGCAGCCTTTCAAAAATGCAGGCTTAACATGATTTTGGGAGACAAATGAGGAGCTCCAAGAAGTTCACAGTCATTGAATGCCTCCAAGTAATGGTTGTTGCTGACATTTTCATGGTTTATTTTTAATTGCTGCAGCTAATGATGCTAATGAGCTAAAATGGCAATGGCTTAGGCAATCCAATGGCAGTGGTGAAGAGGAGAGTGTGGAGCTGGCAGCAGTGCTGCTGGGAACCCATCCTCCCTTGTCTTTCCCAGAAAAAGACTTGAGGCACTTCAGAGTTCCTCCTTCTGATGCAGCCACAGGGAAAATGTTTGGGAGTGGCAAACCTCCACTGAGAGAAGCAGCCATGGAAAAGCTGCTCTTGTCTGCTCCTTAAACACGGGTGCTGCAGTTTGACTCTGGGGCACCGGATGTTAGAGCGCTTCTGGGACTGTACCAGGAGAGAAAGTGACTTCCTCTTTAATCTTTGGTGCAGAATTAACCCAAAGCAGATTGTTCTCATGAAAGATAGCACAGACTTGAGCTTTGATTTAGGGGGCCTGTGGCTGGATTTATTTCATGTGTGGGTAATTAAAACCTCTAGACTTGCTGATTCAGTCGTAGTTATGACCATGATTTGATCACTGTATTGTTCCATTCCTAATCCTTTAGTGAGGTTAATCTTCGTGAAATGTTTGCTTAATACTACCCTCATTTATTCTCTTAATAAAATCTGCATAAAGAATGGAGAAATAGTAATTCTTTCAGCTTGTTCTAATTACTCTGAGAGCAAAGCTAAATCAGCTGAAGCAGCTTAAGAGCAACTTGACTGTGTTTTTACAGTTGAGACTCCATGCCAGCAGGAGATGAGACATGTTCTATACTCCAGAGCAGTGTCAGTATCTTCATCTGGTTAAAATCTGGAAAATGCCAAGGTTTTGCTCTTGGATGTTGCATGGGTTTTTCTCCAGTCTTATGCCTTGCTGCTCAGTTCTGCCAGGTTCAGTGTTTCTGCCTCTTTTGCTCCTCTTCTGGACTGCTGCTGTTCCCATGACCCATTAGCAAAGCAGAAGAAATGGAATTGAGTGTATGGGTGTTCACTTTGTCCATCATGAAAAGCAAAGACTTTTTGTATTGGTTCTGTCTCATCAGATGGGATTTGTGGCTAAATGACACTTTGGTATGACCCAATACGTTTATCCTTATAAATGCTAAATAACATGATATCCATAAGGGATACACTTCTCAGAAGAGCATGATAGATGTATGTGTTGCCAAAAGGGATGGAAAAAGTGAGAAAATGTATCTAAGAAAATAATATAATTTTAAATTAAACCTAAACAGGAGTATTTGTATTGACTGCAGGCCCTGGCTGTCGCAGTGAACGCTTGGTATGTGGCAGAGTGGATGTCTGAGCAGAGAGACAACTAGAATCATTCTTGCTACTTCATGTGGCCTCTCAGTAGAAACTAAAGCTGTTTTAAGTTTGCAATACCTTGAGGGGCCAGATCCAATCTGAGCATTATTACACTGTTGACACAACTCAGCCACAGAAGTTCCCTTTCCCTTTTTTGCCAGCCAAGCTTCCAAACCTCAGCAGAGGGAAAGCTGCAGCACCTGAGCTTGTGCTGGATTCATTGCACTGGGTGGGAGTTCACCCTGGTGCCTCAGAGAGGTGCTGGCAGATGGGTGAGATGCTCTTTGACTGGATGAGGAGACCTGGTTGGGGTGTACAAAGTAGTAATGAAATCTAAATGACAAAAATAATGACAAAATAGTCAAGGTGATGGCAAGAAAATGTTCAAAGAAGCATGACAGTCTGTGGCTGCTGAACAACAGGGAGCTCTTGGTACAGAGAGAAGAAAACAATACCATATTGGCCATGGCACTTTGCTGCCAGGAATGCCACTGTATGAACAATGGGGGATGTCTCTCAAATGTTCTCTGACTTCTACACTTGATTGGTGAGCCAAGTCTCAAGTCCCTTTTTCGCTTTTTACTTATATCATGCCCTAAAGCATTACAGAATAGTGAAAAAAATATTTCAGCCTTTAGAAGAGAGGTCAGAACAGTATTGAATGGGATTTCATTTTGGGGGACAAGGAATAACTCTCCTCCAGCTCTGTGGGTAATGAATGCACTTAATGAGAAAGCAGGAGAAAATACATATGACTGAGTACTTCCTTAAACAGAAAAGTCTATTTGTGACATACCCCTGCTCCACACAGCTTCCCAAACCCTTTGTACTCTTTATACCTTCCTCACTTCTACAGAAACACAAAGACAACTGAAATGAGCATAGTCAAAATGACCTCCAAAGTGTGGTGGTTTGATTTCAGCATTAAATCTCCCCTTGATGGTTCACAGTGACACTGTATTGCCAATAGATTACAGGGTTGTAGCTATTTTCCACGCAGGAGAACACACAAAGGAACCCCCGCCAGCTCTAGCAGTGCTCTCAATCAAATAAAAACCCTTTAGCTTCCTGTTGCAGAGCTCTCCCTAGGATTCATGTATATTTTATCAAAGTTACATGCAGTTCTGATACTTGTTTTTAAAGTGCTTTAGTATGAATCCCAAGATGTACTGAAATGCTGCAGTGGACCTTTTTAAAAAAATTTAGGTTAGAGTAGAGAAAAAAATGAAATGGCTTGACTCTACAGCATGCAATAAGAAGAAATTTTTGCTCAACAGGCTTCTATTGATATAAACAAGCAGAAGAAACACAAATCTACATCTATATGAAATCATTTCACTTCATGTAAGTGCAGCCTGGGAGCAGCAGGACCAAAGAGGAACTCCACTGTTTAACCTCTCATAAATTAAAGTCCTGCAATGATCTAAAGCTATTTTTTTGCCAGAATTGCTTTTACAAGACAACATACATGCCGACACAAAGAGCTATGACTTCAGTTGTAACCAATTACTCTGAAAGTAGTTAATAACAGCCTGGAGCAAGGAAAAAAAACAAAAAAACAACTTGTATTACTAATTGGGATTTTTTTTCTTTCTTTTTGTTTAAAAAAAACCAACTAACCAACAAAAAAAAAAAAACCCAAAAAAAACCAACAAAAACCCCCTTGTTTTATGTCTTAAGCTAATTTGTGAGATAAAGAGTTGCAGTGATCTTTCCAGATGAAAGGTGTATGTAAATTCAAACCAGTATTTCTTGCCTCCTTTGTCTCTCAGACATTTCCAGATTTTAGACCAGGAAGGATGCACAGAAAATATGATCTGGCTACAGTATAATAAGGCATTTAGGTTGATGTCATCATGGCATTTAGGTTGATGTCAGCATAGCGGAGAGGTGATGAAAAAAAAAATAATTCATTTTGTATGTAATAAAGCTTTAGTACTTACAGCTGTCCTCTTCTTCAGTAATACACTTCACAACATAACAGGCATAGATGAAGCCTGCCAGCTGAAACAAAATGTAATAGTGTTAGATGTAAGACTGATACCATAGAGAAACAAGAGATGGCTTTAGAAAAGTGACTACAGAAACAACAAAATTAACAGACTTTCTTTAGGAGTTAAAGATAATTCTCCACAATAGTTATATAATTTTAATTAGAAATAGGGGAATTCTGCATCTTTATTGAAAAACACATCCTTCAATAAAACTTCCAAAAATTGACCAAAATTTTTCCAATACCTAGTTGACTTCTTTACAATTATTGAAAAAATAGAAAAGTGAATGAGTATTTGGATGACTGAGCTTTTAGCTACTTAAAATGTAAATATTTCTGTCAAAATCAGATTTGCTATTCAACAAAAACTGACTCTCTAGCAGAACATTTTTTTTTTAAATCAGAACTGTGCCAACTAAATCAAGGACAAATTCAGTGCACTTGTAAACCAGCTTTATAATGATATTTTATCAGTTGAAATTAGGGCTGTGGATTAATGGAACTTGTTCCCATATCTGCAAGCCTTATTACAAGTCACTTTGGATAGTCCTGGATGTGTTTGCATCAACATCTCACACAACAGCTGGCAAATTTGTATCTTGTTCCCTTCAATCCTCTCTGAAGAGCATGTCCAGAATTGAATTGTAAACTGGAGCAATGGGATTTAAAGAAAATGAAACTCTGGAGCAGTTATTGAAGTACCACCTGAAACAAATGATAATAAAAAAAGGAATAAATGGCCAATATCACACTTGCAACAGGCCAAGTATCATGTGAGTCAGCTGCTGGTCCCTCCAAAAGTTCTGTTGTTGTTAAGTTAGACCAGAATTAAAAGAACAAATACTGGAGCAGCAACACATGTCACATGTTACCCGCTTTACACAACTTCCTTACATGCAGGCCTGGAGAGTTTTCTCTACTTCATTACAAGAAATCATTTTTCATCCTGTAGCTCATCACTGAAGTTTGCATGGTATGACGTCAAAAGAATTCCACTTATTTGATCTCCGTGTAGTGAAAAGTGAGCTGTGCTGCCAAAATGTTATTCTGCACAGGCCACCTCAGAGAGATATTTGTATGAGCTGCAAAACCATCTGTACTCTTAGGGAATTTGTTTTTTATATGGATTATATGGATAATAAAAATGCCTGGTGGCTTCAGCCAGGACTGAGCTTTCTGTGAATGGTGCAACACTCATAATCTCCGGCTGAGGGAGATGATGATCTTAACTTCAGTTTGAGTAATCAGTGGGTTGGACAGTAGAAGAAGTGAAATTTGAGAGACCATGTATTATGAATGCTGGTAATGAAAATGGATTTTTTTTTCATTAATCTGAGGCATATGCACAATCACTGCAATATTGTGGGTTCTTAGAGCCCTTAATATTACCCATATATAAATTAAATGCAAACAAATCCATTCTATTTTATCGTGCCTTCATACCTGAGGCAGTGACTATGCCTAGTTTATTCCAGCTCTTACACAGATATTCCTGGCATTTCTGTCAGTTTTATATGTAGAAAGCTACCTATACCCACAAATGCTATCTTCTAATATCTGTATGGGTAAGAGATGGCAAAAGGGGAAAAAAAAAGGGCAGCCTCAAGGCTTTCCTAAAGAAATCAAGACTTGATTTGGAGATCACACTGAAGCCAGCATAGGTGCTGTCTGCTCACAGTTTAAATTCCTGTTGGAAGCCCAGAAGCTGCATTACAACGGAACTAAACAATTAATTTTGTCATTTATTATAAATCTGCCTTACAGTGCTGCTGGGAAGATTTTACACCTGGGAAGGATGAAATATTCACTGCTGGACAAAAAGAACGTGCTGTACCAAGAAGTGGCATTCAGCTAATATCAGCATTTCATCTCTCCTTTATTGGATCACTCTTCCCTTTTGTTTCTTGGCTTCAAGACAGAGGGCTAATTTGCTCCACTGACTTATGCCCTGCATAACCCCATTGACTTCAATGACATTACTTGAGGTTTAATTCAGCAACAAATTAGGCCCAGAAAGGTTGTTCATAAATGATTCCATTCTTGGATGTGAATCTTGGCTTAATAGTTTCTCTGTTCTCTTTTTACAGACCATCAGATCCAAGATAGCTGAATAGTTGCCCCTCTAGCAGGCTCCTTTGGTAATCCTTTTCTTGCACTACAGTTCAATACTTTACTGTCTTGTAAACCACCAGAAATTCACGTGTTATTAACTGAACTTATCTTGCAAAGTACAGCAAACAAACGTATCACAAATGGTGTTTACAACTGATCTTTTAATTGTATTCAGTTACATTGCTTAAATCTCTAGGGAACTCCTTCGATATATAAGCTAATCCTACAGCATTTCATCAGATGAGCTTGTTGATTAAAAAAATGCCTTAAAGTTCAAATTGTTCTGATCTAAGTACAAATGTCAGGGTTTTTTCCCATGAGATAATCAGAGTTCATAAAAGAAACCTCTCCTTTTCCCACATTTATCCAACCCTTTGCTTGGTAAACGTAATCATTTTGTTATCTGAATCTCACATTAGTTTTTTCTTCCTTCTCTTTTTTTTTTTTTTTAACCAAGTAATTTGTAGTTTATCTGTTCTGATACAGTGACAATCATTCAAGATTTACCTTCTAATTACATCAGCAGCAGTGGGCACACACCACGAGCTGAGGCTCAGAAGCAAAAGTGGCAGATTTCACTTCGATGATACTCAAAGACCTGAGCCCGTGGTAACTGCAGAGATCCCCAAGATAGAGATCACGCTGTGGACTAGGACTTTCCATAAGAAGGATATAGCTTATCTATGCAGATAGCAGAGATTTCTTGGAGACTTTAGTCAACTAAAATTTTTAATGAATTCCCACATGGATTGATAGGTCTCCCAAAATTTACCACCTTTGTTATAGTGCAAGATGCACTTCTTTAACCTTTTCTCTCTAACAAAAGCATACCAAAATATACCTTTGTATAAAAAAAATACCCCAAAACCCCCAACAAATCCAAACAAAACACTGAATAACTCCTCATCCTGGAGAAGAATATGAGAGAAGAAACCCAAACCAAAGCAAATGATAGAAGTTAGTCACATCGATTAATATATTCCTGGGACGTCCTCAAACACAGCATTGCTCAGTGCAGTATGAGAATTACACAGAGCAGAGTCTTACTGATTCAGTAGCTCCAAAAGTTTTTTGTCATACATAAGAAGGAAGGAAATGAGTCCTCAGAGATAAAGAAGAGAAAAAGCCCGACTGTCTCAGAAAATCATTTTAAAACTGGGAAAGTTGCTTGAAAAATCTTGTTGTTTGCATCCCTACGTTTTTTTTTTTTTTAAATTAACTGAGCTTTGTTTTTTTTTATAAGCCATGCAATGATAAAAAGAAATAGATGTAATGAGCAGAAGATCATTTCTGGATCCCAGACCCATCAAGCTTAGGTGTCTACATCTGTCCCACTCACATTTTAATGCTGTAATATGGGCCTCTAGAGGAGAAGGAACCATTAACAACATTCCTGCTCATTTATATAGAGTGATTAGTAAATGCATGTTTTTATGAACTTCATTTTCTGCACCTTGAAAAAACCTGTTCTTTACAACTTTCCCGGATATGTCCATATGAGAGTATAAATGAATACTGCTCTTTCTAAAAGTGACACATTATCCATGCCTGCACCAGCTCCCTGGGTGTACTTTAACAGCATCTGATGACCTTAATTTCAGAAACAATAATCTCAAACACTTAATAATTTTTTGGGGTGTTTTTAAAATTTGTTTTTGTTTGTTTGTTTGGTTTTTAAAATCTATAACCATGTTGATAAAACCATTTTCCTTCAGTCAAGAAAAAAAAAGAAGACAAGCAAAGCCTAAAATAAATCACCAATAAAACAGCATTACTGAAGCTTTGGTAAGAAGATTAACTACAAAATATAGTTAATGCACATTATTGCCTTATCATAGCTGTATAAGGAAAACAAAAAAGTAGAATATTCCCACCTAAGTCAACGATATTCTGTTACACCTCTAAAGACTCTCGGCAGATCCTGAGTCACTGTGAGTGTACTTCCAGACTTGCTCAAAATGTCAAGTGCTGTGATCACACTTAATCAGAATTCGTATTGATTAAAATCCTGTTGTGCTATTTTTTCTCACTTCTTTCATGGAGATGAATGTTTTTATACACTGCAAAGAGTACCAGACTTGGAAAAAAGGCTATCATATAGAACAACCATAATTGCTGGTCAAGGGTCCCACACTTCCCTCTTCTAAAGCAATATCTACATAGGTAATTACTACAAGTTATGTTTATTAATCTGGGAACTTGAAACAAAAGAGTGACAGCAAGAAGGAAACAAAAACTAGAAGGAGATCTAATTGGGATAGTGTGGTGAGGAGCAGGCTTGAGATGAGGATTAATGAGTTAAGGGTTGTGGAAATAACACATAGTCTTGGTTTCTATGAATGAATATGTTTTTATTCTATAACCATACTTGATCTAGTGAAATGGACCTTAGACTTAAACCCCACAAACCTATTGTGTTTTCTAATGGAAAAATATTTCAGTACCTTTGAAACAGCTAAGGCTTGTGCATTTGCTTTTCTTTATTAGGTTTTTGCAAGTGTCTATAAAAACTATGCTTTTAAGACTTAAGCAAAATATAAGCTAGTTCAAGCAATAATATGGCAGAAATACATGGATGTAATTCTGGCCCTGGGAATGCTCTATTGTGAATCTGCGATGTTACATGTCCATCCATGTGCAAATTAATCATATTTCTTAAGCTTACAGTGGTCTGCACACATAAAAACTTTGTGGTGATGTGCATTTAAGGGGCAATGTTTCTTTAAAATGGATTTTTGGAGTCTGGAGATATACTGATATATATATATATATATATATATATATATATATATATATACACACACATACACATTATGAGCAACTGAAGTACTGGAAAATTACTGTCTAGAAAGCTTCCAGTGTATTGAGTCTCAGAAGAATCATACTCATTATTTAGCAG